AAATATATATTTATAATTATACAAAAAATGATAATTTAAATAATCAAAAAACTATGGGCTTTATTAATTAACCCAATAAGACTTCATTCAAGCCCAAGGCCATATCCTTTGATCCAACTTTCCTTAAACCCAATCCAATTAATTTAAATAAATAAAATAACTAAATAAACTCTTAAATTATAAAAAACTAAATACACTAAGTATATAAACAAAACAATAAATTACAACCAAGTCATACCATACCAATAAAATCAACACGCCAACAATTCAATCAATAAGTAAGCACACACACAACAATCATCATATCAATAATTCACGAAATATAAATAAAATAAAATAATTAATCTAAGCATTCAATAAAACAAATCAATTAAAAATTAAAATAAACGTAATTAATTCAAATTGAATCAAATAAATTATTTAAAAATACAATAAAAGTAATTAATTCTAATTAATAAATCCTTTAAAATATCGGGGTATTACATTCTCCTAAAATTTCAGTGGTTTCAGCTAGCTTTAAAATATTATCTATATTTAATTTCGGGTTTTTTAATATAGCTTTATTATTAAGAAAAATTTTTGGTTCATCAAAATGACTGAAAAACATTAATGCTTCAAAAACACCTTCTAAAAATGTAGTTACATCAAATAAGTTTTCAATAGTTTCCTCTGTTATAGGTAAAGTATTGACATACGTAATAGCTCATTTTTCTTTTTGAGGAATATAAGGAGGGTTGGATGGAATAAAGGTTCATTTTTTAAAGAACTGTAAACCCGTAGGGGTATACATAAATCTTCTAGTAAGTGAATTGAAAAAAATTAATCCTAAAATAAAATCATAAGTACTAGGAATATTATTAACTACATAGGTCTGTGGTAAAATAAACTTTTCATTGTTAATGAATACAGGAATATTTTGAACACAATGAGTTATTGGGAGTTTTTGATTATTATATTGACTTATATTAACATTATAATTTAACTTTATCAGTGATTCCTCAGGTACTAAATGCTTTCGAATTATACTTTTAAATGCTCCAGTATCAACATAGCTGAGGTTTGGACTAGTTTTTCTTTAAATTCTAATGTTACTGGGAATTAGATTAGATTAGATGGTTTATATTGAATTTATAGATTTAACTAAATTATCTTCTTGCTTATTTTCATATTTAGAGTAATAGTTATGACGTAATAAAGTTCTATAGTGGTCTTTACAGTAATGACCTTCTTTAATAAATGTGTTACATTTTTTACAATTGTAAGATGAAAAATGAAAATCAATAAAAGTGTATTGACATAATGGATTGCTTATAGTGTAAACGAAATCTTCGATTGAATGAAGTCCTTACTCAAAGTCTTCATCTTTATCGAAGTCGCTATCTATGCTTTCGATACTATATATACTTTCATTATCATCTTCGGAATCATAAATACTTTCTAATTCATATAATTCTTCTATCTGTTCTTTAATATTTTCAAGTATATTGATCTTTTCTTGTATCATTTTGATATAATTCTATTTGTATTTATAAGGGCATTTTGGTCTTATATATCCTGGATCTCCACAAATAAAGCATTTGCAATTTCTTTCTTTTGTGGGTAACGTGTTTACTTTATTATCTTTGTTATCTTTACTATCCTTTTTATTATTATCTTTATTTTTATTTTTGTCTTTTATACCAAGGCCGCTTTCTGAATTGTCTAGGGTTATTTTTGAAATAAGGTTTTTTATTACAGTAATTCTTGTAAGTCTTACTTTTGTGTAGATTATATTTTCTAGGTTTATTACGCTTATAATCATAATTTTTATGAGGCACACAACCATACTGTGGTGGAAAATCTATTTGCCTACACATATAATAAAATTGTTTTTTAGTTTGTTTAGATTCTTTACATTGTCTACATTTTGCTTTTAACATATTATAAATATGATTTACTCTGTCTCCTATGGTTAACTTATCTCTTTTAGGATTTTCTAACCATTTTTCCCATATCTTAGTTCTCTATTTATTAGAGTTTTATCTCCTGTTTTGCCAGTGGCTACGAAATACTCGAAAAACTTATTAGTATAATCCCTTTTATATCTAAAATCACAAATCTATAGTAATTCTAAATTACGTAAAGTTTCATTTTGCTTCATTAGAGTTTCATCTAATAATCTATCTTCGCTAACTAACACCTTTTTTATTAGGCTGGTAAAACATTGAATTGTAAAATTATCACGTAAGAGGGCATAATCATTGGGATAAGTCACTTTGTACGATTGCCACCAATAATGGATTGTTCCCCTTAATAAAGTTTCACAATAAGTTAGAGCTTGTATTTTATTATCAAAATTGGTTAAAATAGATTGCAGAATACAGTCTTGTTTCTAATTTTCGATTACTTTTGCCCAATCTTGGGGATCGTGTCGTATATGTCTAATATTGTTTCTGCTTGTTATGTTGGTATATTATCATAACACCTACGATTTTGTGTCCATGTGTACATACCCGGTATATTTCTATTTTTTACATATGTTTTTGTGTGGGATTTAACCGTTGTCCAATAGTAAAGTCATCATTTATGGTATTAGTACTACCTGTGACGTTAGGCATCTCTTGGTCAACTGACTGAGAAGCTGATCCTTCTGGTTCTTTTTCTTCTCTCTGTTCTACTACATTTAATTCTTCTTTTAATGTATTCAACTCATATGTTGTATAAAAGGATTCAAGTCCTACGTTCAGAATATTTCTTTTAATATCATCATTATTTTCTTGTCCTAGGTAAATACTTTCTATAAATTTGTATTTAGGTTCTGGATACTTATTTTGTAAGTCTTCTACTTCTAAATTGTCAAAATCATATATTATTTTATTTAGAATTTCATCTTTCTAATTTATCATATAAGACATTTATTTCTTCGGGAGATTCTATTTCTACTAAAGTAATTAAGAATTCTTCTTCGATATCATCTGTTAAATTATCTTGTCTTTTATAGTTACTAAACCTTATACTAGCTTTTACACTATTTTTTACATATATCATATTATTTTCGGGAATCTTTTTTGTTGTTTTAGTAAGATTTGGTAATTCCCATTTGGTTTCTTCATGGGTTTTACTGCTTACTTTTCTAGCCTTTATCTTCTGGACATATTTGCCACTAAAATGTTTAACTATTTCACTGAATTGAGTTTAAAACTTTAAATTTAATGATTAACTGTTTTTCCCATGAACAAAGTATTAATTAATAAGTTTTCATATTGCCCAGTCATATTATATCCTTTTGTGGATACGGTTGTTTTTATATGTTTACTAAATTCTCTAGTAGTTATCGTGAAATTAGAAATATATCCTACAATGGCTGCGTTAACTGCTAGATCTATTTCAGCGCTAGCTATTTGTGCTTGTTGATGGTTAGTCCATTGATCATCATAAATATATGCGAGTGTTCTGATTCCTACTTTCGATCTATTTAATCTTACTATTCCAATCATTATTATACCTAAATGCATAAGTTCTAATTTACTTTTTTCTAGTTCTTGAAAGGCTTCTGATGTTATGAGATCTAAAATTACCTGGTTGTTTACTACACTTATCCTTCTTTGGCTAAAATTATTATATATCTTGCTCTGAAAATTTAATAAATTATTATAATAAAGATTAACTTTGTTAAAAACTTTCTTCATTCCTTTTTCTATATAATTTTGAGCATCGTGCTCGTTATCGTATAGATTTTCTACCCTCATTATTTCTTTGGTTTTTCTAAGGACAATGACTATTCTCTATATGGTTGTAAAAGATTTACATGCTTGGTTGTTTTAGTCGAGAAGGAATTAGTCGATAACTTTAAATCTTTTATTTTATTTGATAGTTTAGATAATTCTTTAGAAGATTCTTTAGGAATATTTTCTTGTATTACTTCTAATTTTTCTTCAAGTTTGTTAACTTTTTTAGATAGCTGTAGTAATAACTGAATCAAAAAGTTGTTTTGTCTAATATTTATATTAGTTAATTATACGTCTGTCTTAAAACTTGTAAATCCTACAGGGTCTTTGTCAATTTTATAAAGTTTGGTTAAAGCTGTTAGATAATCAGAATTACTAGTGCTCATAAAACTATTGTAATAATTTTTGAATATTTGTTTTCAAGGATTTTAAATAATCTATAATTATTTTTTGATTTTCTAAAATATTTTTTATATCACTGTTTATGTCTTTAATAGCAACTAATATAATTTTGTTGTCTATATTAATTGGACTAGAATTCTGTTCTATTTGAGTATTAATATAATCTAGATTTTCTCCTAGTCATTTTATAGAGTTATCTAAATTATTAAATTCTACCAACGGGCCAGTGGCTTAGCGGTATCAGCCTCTTACTTCCCAAAGGGAGGTCAAGGGTTCAAGTCTCAGAAGAGACATGTGTGTGTGTGAGTACTAACTAGGAAAAAAAAAATTATTAAATTCTATTCTACTCATAAACTTAGCTAAAATATTTGCCGTCTAGCTTCTAGAATATTATGTACAAGAATAATTCTAGATCTAAGTTATATTCTTCATTAAAGGGTATGTGTTGTATTACCGAGTTCTAGTGAAGTGTAACACTTTCTAAGTGCTATTTGAAAATATTCTAGAATTTTTAAAAGTTCTTATTTGGTTAAATTGTGCATAAAATAAACTTTTAAGGGTAAAAATATAATTTTAACTTAATAAGGATTCAAAATGAAGGCATTCACTTTTGGTTCATGATATAGTAAATATGCAAACTACATCAATGATTTACTAATATATTTTTGCTACTACCACTTGTGTATAAAAGTCCCTTTTATTTATTAAACTATTAATCCATATTGTAGTATATCATACGTTTTAACTATCTTGTATTATATTGTAAAATCACACAAGTAGTAGCCGACTCATAGGCCAAATAAATTAAATCCAGCTATTGCAAAACCCAAATGAAAGATAAAACCCAATCTCGGCCCATGTATGCATGCTCTAGTACTACTTTGCCTTTAAATCATCTCAGAGAGCCCAGAGGACTGATGCACACTAAAAAGAAGTTGCATGAGAGCACTGGACCATTCAAAATTGAAGATGTAAAACTAACATAGTTGAAATGACTTTTATGATTCATTACAAATTGCCTAGCTCCCTATCTGTTTAAAAAAAAATAAAAAAAAATAAAAAAACAAAGCCTATGAAGTAACACGTTCAAGAATTGAAATGGGGCGTTTGGTCAAATGACCTCTTACAGTGAGCAATGGCTGCCTGAACTGAATTGTCTCTTGCAAAAACCTTATTCTGATTGGGCGAAGACTCAGTTGAAATTGGGCTGCTTTTTCTTATTTTACCCTTGCTGCGTCCAATATTGTTAATAGCCTCTAAGATGAACCCTCTAACTGCGTCCAAGTTTATTTCAGAACCATTTCTGTAGGGCTGCTTGGTGTTGGTGCTCTGATCTCCCCCTTTCCTTTGCACCGACCATCTCTCAAATGGTTTGATTACCCTCTCAAAATTCCAAACACTCACTGATTCTGTTTTTTTGTTAATATTGTCTTCCCTGTTGCCTCCCGGAGAAATAACTTGCCCTGGTTAATGAAGCAATCATGGACCGAAAATGCTTAATATTGGATTTAAACTTGACCAATAACTTGGCAACTCTATTGTTCATCGCAGTGGTGACCACCCTTGTTGAAGCTTTTCTGAATATATGGTAAAGTGAATATTGTTATAAATTAAGTATTTACATCATTAATCACTAGATAGGACAATAATTTCAATCAAATTAATTAACACTAGATCAACTGGTCTATTTAATGAGCTAAATTCATGCATTCAAATGAAATCAAAGTGATCATTACCCAAACACATTTAATTTATATATCCTGCAAATTAACATGTACATATGACTTTTGAGTCTATATATATGACGTACCTGCTCTGCACCAGTTTCCAACTATCTCTATTAATGTTGGTGCGCAATTGTGGAAGCTCAGACATCGCCGCCTGTTGAGACACCGGAGTATCAATTGGACATAAAAAACTAGTTGCTGCTGAAGAAGTTGAAGTTGTAGTGGTTGAGGAGGAAAATTCTTGGGAGGGAAGGGAAGTTCTCCACGAAAATGAAACTGGGAAGTACTCCAATTCCTTATCATCATCACTGCTCTTTTCTTCCTCTCCTTCTACGTGCGTGTCAGTGGGTAAGGGTTCAAGATCTATTTCGATGTATCCGTCTTCTCCTTCTTCTTCACTGTCGTCATCATCGGAGAATAAGTCATGTCCCGGAGAGGAGTTGAATTCGAAGCTATAAATATTTTGGAGCTCCGGGTGTATGGTGTTTTCTTCCATGAATTAAGAAATGATTAACCAATTGAACACTAGTACGCAGCTACCACACCTACAAGATCATGATCACAATTCACAAACAAGCAGAGATGCATGGATCCATCAAAAACCAAGTTAAAAATATGAATAATTGTCAGTGATAGATATGAGTTGTGTGCATGTGAGCAGTAGTGTTCTACAGATGATACATCTTCTAATTCATGAGTTGTGCAAGTCGAAATGTGTGTGTATGTACATATATATATATATATATATATCCCAACCAATTTACCTGCTAAATTCTTTCTTTCTGATTTAGGCCATCTCTTCTTTCTTTATGCATCAGCGTGGAATACCTCTAAGAATACTAGTCTGACTTAGAACTTCCTCAAGTCATATTATTAGACATCATGGGACAAAAACAATATATATATATATATAGACATCAATTTTGACCGCGCGTCAAAAAAGTCGACGGAACCCTACTTGGTTGAATATTTGACTCAGACGGTTTTTCTTATGCCGGGGTACAATACAAACGTATGGCAAAATTGTTCCATCTGCTTCCCGTGTGAATTTTCGTTTAATTTTTTAATTTATAAATTTTGATAATTATAAAATTGCCTCAACTTAAATTTTAAAATATGCATTAAAGAACTTTTAATAAAAACTTGCAAAAGTCAAAAGATCTCTCATTTTTTAAATCATTTGTCCATAAGATTTTTAAAATTTAGTAAAGACCCTTCTCAAAGAATCAAAATTTAGAAAAAAATCTCTTCCTTTCCTGCTAATTTTTTGTTATTTATATTTTCCAAATATAAATTTTGGTAATTATAAAAATGTCCCGATTGAACTCTTAAAGAATTCACAAAAAACCGTAAAAAACTTCTAATATTCACAATTACCCCTCATTTAAGTCATTTACCCAACAAAATTTTTTAAATTGAAAAATACCATGCCTTTTCTCCTCCAGTGGGTCCCACATAAAATTTAATAATTAAAATTAAAAAAAACCTCTGGAGTTTTTTTATTTTGGTTCAATATGTATATTTTTATCATATTATGATTAATGGTTGCCACTGAGTTAAATTCACCACCTTTTTTTTTAATGTTGTGTCAGATACAAGGGCTGATCGATGACCCCAACGATCTTTTTTTCCTCTCACTGTATAATGATATACCCATCATTAATAGACTTATTTCTCATATCGTTTAAAATTTAAAACATAGTAAATGTGTTTCAGTTAATTTGAGAATTCATTAATTAAATTTTTCAAAGGAAAAAAAATTTCAGAAGCCAATTTATTTAGGCTATGTTTGGGGGAGCTTCTTGATCTTCAAATTCCTTGCGCTTAATGGGCTTTGCAAAATGCATTTTAATGGAAGGAATTTAAAGAAAAAAAGTTGTTTGGTGGATGTTTTTTTTTTTTTTTTTTTAAATTCTTTTGACTTAACACAATTTAACTTGACAATTTTATTCTTAATTATCATGAATAGTACAAACGTGGCAGTATAGTTGAATTATAATTATAGTAATGGAGTGAAAATCAGAGATGATGGCACATCAGTGTTGTTCATATTTTTATTGTAGATACATTGCTGACAAAGTGAAATCACCATTACTGACAAAGTGAAGATCAATGTGTACATATCGATATAAGTTAATTATTTAGACTCAATTTCATTCTTATTTTTAGTTATATTAAAACCATAACTTGATAGGTAAAACAAAAGATTTCTAGTTATATTAAAACCCTAACTTGATACATAAAACAAAAGATAGATCTTAAAAAAAATCTATTATATATATATATTTTTTGAGAGTTAGAGGTTGTTCAAAATTCTATAGAGAGTTGAACTTTTTTAGATGAGAGTTCAAATATCTTTATAACTCTTTTGCTCCTTAGTCTTTAAAATCAAATGAAAATCAATAGGAAATTTTTTATGCAAATCCTCCACGTCTTGTGTTCTTTTCTAAAAATAAGTTCCAAAAGCAAGTTTTTCGAGCTTTACTTAAACGGACTTTTTAGGACTTTGACGTTTATTAGAATTCCTTTTATCTTAGTTAATCAAACACTCATATTTTTTTAAAAAGGGCTTCATAGGTTTGAAGCTATCAGAAAGCTTAGCCAAACAGGCTCTTACTAAAATATTTTTAAACATGTACTTTTAATTATTCAAATAATGCTAAATTAATTTAATATCTCATTTTACATTGCTAAGGTAATAAGCAACCCATGCGTCGCGGCACCTGTAATATTTTCAATTTTATAAAACTGAAACCCATACGTCACGGCACCTGTAATATTTTCAATTTTTGTCATTTTTTATTTTCTGAAATTTTATGATTTTTTGAGGATATTTTCGTCTTATCTCGTTTTGCGTGTCGAACACCGTGGGTTGTGCCGAGTGTGTCAAAGTGTTGATTTGGACATTTCCTTGAGTTCAGGACTCTTGGAAATGTATTGGTTGCCATTTCGGCATTTTTCTGTTTTTCGAGCCGGAGGATCCTAGGCGGGACCCGCTACCGGGGTTGTTTAGCATGGGGTTTGTGTCATGGGACCATTACTTTTCATGCATGTTTATTTCATACATAATAATGTGGTTACAAGCTAAATTATGTGGTTGTGTATTGGCTAGTACGTATATAAATATTAAAGTTAAATGATTTTTTTAATTATTTAAGCCATGGGGCCCGCTAGATATCATAACCATTGTAATGGCCTTTTTACACAGCCACGAAATTCACTCTCTCCCTCTGTTTGACAAATTGTGTGGCTGTATATATAAAACTTATTGTATATATATAACTTATAATTATATTATGATATTTTAAAAAGGGTCAATGGGACCCACCATTGCATTATAACTTTGTAAATGACCATAAGGCCATTATCAGACCTCATTCTTTCTCTTTGCTGATGTGTTCTCTCTCTCCCTCTCTGCTGATTTTCTTTTTTCTTTTTCTTTTTCAATTTCAAACCAATATATCTCTCTAACCTTTAGGAATTTGATGTTGTCACTTAAGGCAAAGTTGACGAGCGCGTCGAGGCTGACGTTTTGATTGAAGCAAAATGGCGTTTGGCCACTCCTTGGGATTTCAAATTTTCGGGTGATTTTGGGCCTTTTTCTTCTTTTTGAGGTAGGGGTACTCTAATCAATTGCTTCTTTGGCTTATTGTGAATTTTCTCTCTAATTTGATCTTAATCATGTTGAATTTTAATTATTTTGCCTATGGTTGTTGTATTTACATATTCTCAAGATGATGAAGGTGTCCTAAGTGTTAATTAAATTCATGTATATGATTATTTTTATTGAGGGGAAGAAGCATGCTTAGTATCGACATGTTGTATGTCTTGTGATTTCCAATTGCTATTAAATTGATGTTGTAGTTGTGAAAATAAATATTTAGAACTCCTTACCAAAATGTGATGATGATGTAGTTGGAATGTGTGGAATTTTATTATTGAATTGATATTTAGAAGCATGAAGCATTCATGTATTCATTGGGAAAAAGAAAAAAGAAAAATGTTTTAAAAAGCAAATGAAATTATTTTGCGAAAATCCGGACGCCTAGAAGTTGCCTAGTGGTCCATGGCGTTAGTGTGGTCTAGAGAAGTTAGGGAGAGACCCTAGCGAGGTTGAGCTACTTAGGCCGAAATGACATCTTAGAGTTGCCATGTGGTCCTGAATAGCTAGCTAATCATCGTCTTATGACGCTATAGAGTTGCCATGGGTCGGATCACTAACAGTTTGAAAAGGTGAAACGGTATTGTTTCGAAAATAGGGAGCGATATTGCTTGGCCTGGCATTTCATTGGCATATAATGCACACTTGGTACTCGGATGACTTGTATACGTACTTGTTGATATTATTATTGTTTTACTTATTTCCTGAAGCATGATTCCATTCACTTGTACTCTATTCTTATGTGGATTCACGGAGTCGTAAGAGGTGTGTCTTAGAAACTTCTTACTGAGCAGTTAACTCACCCCATTTTATTATTAACATTTTTCAGGATACGGAAGGGAAGTGGCGGATGACGCTCCTCCACAGGTTTTGATGGGTTAGTGGACTGTTTTAACATATTTTGTAACTATGATCTCATTTTTTTTTTTTTTTTTTTTTTATAAACTCTGGGATGACACATATATTATGTATTGACATAGGAAAGGACAGTAATGTCCTTAGTTGACCTTGGGTTCGGATAAAAACCCGGTTAGCGATCTGGACCCTCGGGTTCGGGTCGTTACAAATTTGGTATCAGATCAATGGTTCGAAAACCAGTAGGACGACGGGTAGAGACCTACCTAGGGTTGTGTGGAAGGTGGATTGCATTGTTTATGTGCTTATGTGTTAAAGTGCAAGTTGTCTGAGAAACATGCTTACTTGTTTAATTGCTTATGTGTTTACGATTTTAAAAGGCAAGCTTATTTGTTAAATGTTCACATGCTTACGTGTTTAATTGTTAAAATGTGTGTTATATGGCTATAACGATGAAATGTATAAATAATTGAAAACATATTAAATATGATATGATGACGAGTGTGTTTTAGGTGGTAACGACAATTAGTAGGCACGGTGTGTACAGTTTTATTTTAAATGATAATATGGCAAATAATGAGCACGATATGTGCAAGCATGTTTCATATGGCATTGTAACGGTTATTTAGGCATGGTTTATGCAAGTATTTTTTTTAAAGGAAAGACGGGGTGTTTAAACTTTAAATGAAGGGACATGATTGTATCATGGTATGGGGTACGATTGTTTTATATATATATGTATATATATATACACACACACACACATGTGTGTGTGTGTGTGTGTTCAAGTGTGTATATACGGTTAAGTATTGGATGGTTGCTGGTACGGTAGAGTACTTGTTACAGTATGGATGGTTATGTGGGTTTCGACCTAAGTAGGCGAGGAGCTCGATTACTCCAGGGTTGTTTAGGTGCCGATTCTTATCGAATGAATGGCGTAGGTCTTTAGCTCGTGGATTGAGCTATTCGGTGCATGGTTGCTTCAGTTTTCTCATTGTTTTTATGGCGTAGTGTTTGGGGCACGACTTTCGAACGATTGCATATGGCATAGCGCGATGTCCAGGGTGAGACGTATGAGTTTCATGTGTTAGCGCATGGGTTCTTGTGATCGTGGAGGTTAGGTGTACGATGTGAGGTTTTTGTGAGGTTTGTGTGAATTTTAGGGGTTAGTATTTGTGACTTAGTTCACGGTTTGGTACTGAAGTTCTCTTTGAATCGGTTTGTGATGAGTGTGATAGAGGTTGCTTGTAATACCCCTAATTTTTAAAAGGATATAACTGAAATTTCTTTATTGATTTTATGTGCATTTTATTGATTAGTTGAGTTATGTGCATTTAA